CTCTCTCTCTTCTCTTTTGAGCAGCCGGCTGGCGTGATTACCATACACCCACCCCTGCTCGACAATCCCACGCCTGCAGCTCCCTTTCTGTACCCTCTTCTCCCTCCCCCCCCCTCCCTGCATTTCCTGCCGCTCGCAAGGAGGATCGGATCCTCGCCTGCCGGCACCTGGCGCCGTCCCCATTCGCCCACCGCATTCCCCTCTCTGCGCGCTCTCGCCGGTGTTGTCCTTGCGTCCCGCTCGTCTCTCGCGTCGCCTGCCCACCCCCTCCCGACCACCTCGGGCATGGGCCGCCCACCGTCAAATACCCACACCGGTTCCCCTCGTACACAGATGCCCATCGACAACCACGACGACCAGCTCGCTCGTGACTCGCCCCACCCCGCGCGCAACTCTTGTGTTGCATCCTCCCCGCCTCCGGCCGCCCAGCCATCCCTCCCCGCCATCCCCAACACCCCCCTGGACCACAAGGCCAATCTCTTTTTTGGTACCCTGGTGAAGCCACACCAGGCTGGGGTTGGTGGTGCCAACCCCGAGATGACCGAGGACTCCGACGATCAGCCCTCTTCGCCGGATCTCAGCGACTCTTTGCTGCAAACTCCGGCCTTCGGGACTGCCTCCTCCACTTCCTCCACTTCCTCCACTTCCACCTCTCGGATCCGACGCCTCCGCAGGGCTTCCCCCTCCCTCCCATCATCACAAGATTCCGATGGCAGCAGCCTGGTCAAGACCGAGCCCTCTGCCGATCCCTCCCCCATGAATCCCCCCTCCCCTTCTTCCGGGTCGCGGCTTGCCTCCCCGGCGGGCCCCCTTTCCCTGGGCCCGGCACACTTGTGCCCGGAGGAGGAAAAGCGCAAACGCAATAGCGAAGCGTCCGCTCGCTTCCGGGCCAAGAAGAAGCAACGCGAACAGAAGTTGGAAAAGGTGGCCCGCGAGGCCGGGGCCAAGGCCGAAGCCCTAGATGCTCGGGTGAAGACTCTTCAGGCTGAGGTGGAGTACTTGCGGGAGCTGCTCATCGCGCGTGAGCGGCATGAGGCCGCTGTGTCCCTTGCATCAGCGGCAGATCTCGCCCATGCGCCGGCTGTCAGCCCCTCCGGTATGTTGCCTGCTTCCCTTGCTCCTCGTGGCCCTCCTCCTTGCCATTGTCTGCTTCCTTTTGCCCTCCCGCGCCCTGTCTCTGGCCTGCGCTTCCTCGCTTTTGGGTTCCCTCTTCGCCCAGCCGCTCCTTCCGTCTTCTCTTTTGGCTGCTTGCCTTTGCTCCTGTTCATCCTCCCCTCTCCCTTCTTTGATTCAGGCCCCTCCTTTTGCCCTCCTCTCCCCCCCCCCCCTATTTGCCCTGGCCCCTTCCCATATCCGCCCCCATCTCACCTTACCTTCTCGCTGTCTGCTCCTCCCGCTACTCTGCCTCCTTCCGCTGCCCTCCTTGCCTTTGTGCTGTCCAAAAAAAAAAAAACCTGCACATGGCCTCCGCCGCCCCATGTGAAACAGATCTCCGCCACATCCATACTCTCCGGGATCCTCCTGTGCTACAATCCTTCCTGAATAGCCAGCTCCTGGGACATCATCCCTCTCCGCAACAGCAGCAACAGCAGCAACAGCAGCAGCAACAGCAGCAACAGCAACAAAAAACAGATGCAGCCCACCGGGCCATCGCAACAGGTCGACCATTCAACATGCCTGAGCCAATCATTGCCCCGAAGGCCAATCTGCCTGCTGCCTCCGAGAATGGGGCCGGTCGTCCATCAAATACCTCCCTGGGTATTGGCGACCGATCGCTTCTGCTTCAACAGCACCCGATGGCCTCGCTTCTGGCATCATCCACCGGGCTGCCTCCCCCAACTCCGTCCCTACCCTCGACGGGCGCGACTGTCGCGCCCCTGCCTGCCGGCAGCCTGCCCCTGGCCTTGGAGCATCTGCAACCTGGCGTGCTTGCTTCCCTTCCCTCCCAGCAACAGGCCCAGCCCCAGACACTGCAACATGTTCCCCAGGGTGCAGGGTACTTTGTCAGTGACCCGGCCGGTGACCTTCGCCGCCAATCGCAAATAGTCTCCTCGCGCTCGATGCCGGACATCGGCGACTTCCAGGTCACTTCGCAGCCGGGCCCGCGTCAGTATCCGCCCCCCCAGTCGGTCCCCTCCTCCCAACCTCAGTCAATCCCGCCCTCCCCCTCAAGCACCACTCATCTTCACATGCATATGATGCAGTCTCCCACCCAATCATTGGTCCCCCCTTCGGTCGGCGTTGGGTCGCCTCTGGCCTCACCGATGCACGCCGGCCTGCCATGCGACGTGTTTGATCGGACACCCGGCGGCGCAACCTCCCCCCAGGGTGCCCCCAATGGCGGGCCTCCACACATGGCCTTCTCCCTTGACCCAATCCATGCAGACCGGTTCCGTGGTGCGGCCTCGGCAGTCGGCTATGGTCCGGAGCTGGGAAGCTCCCCCGCCCAAACGCAAGCGCAATCGCAACCGCCACCCCCGCAGCAGCAGCCGCAGCCGCAGCCGCAGCAACGCATGTCCTTCTCGTCAGATGCCGGCCAGGTTTTGCTGTCCGCCGGCGAAGTGCGCACCTCTTCACATCATCCCTCTCTTGGAGAGTATCATGAGTCCTTGGCCTCCCTTCCTGGCCGGCGCTTCTCACAGCGTTGAGCACCACCGATACAGGCGCTTTTGCAAATGCACCCATGTGTCCGTGGGAACATGCTCTGCGCATGCATTCCCATCTCCATGCGCATGCATGTGCATTGATGCATGCTTGTATGCGTGTGTCCGCGCATGGATGTGAATGTGTACATTCATGTGCTCTTGCAAGCGTGTGTATGTGCGTCCGTGCGTGAACATCTCCACGTCTATTGTCCGGCTCCGCCTGTATGTCAGCACATGTGCTTGCTGATGTATGCGCTTATGCGTGCGTCCGTGAATTTCCCTTTACACGTGTGTCCGTCCTTCTGTCTTTGTCTTTGTCTCTGTCTTTGTGGGTGCGTGTGTGCGTGTGTGCGCGCGCATTTGCGTGTGCGCGCTGGCTCGCACATCGCTTACACATGTGCAAACATGTGTGTCTGCCTGTTTATCTACACACATGTCAGCATGTGCGCATTGAGGATGTCCTTGATGGGGGCTTTTGGACAGCAGTGTGCGCTCCTGTCCATACATCATGGCCTTGATATGATGCTCCATGAAAGCGCGCAGATCGTGCTCCCCCTGCCCCAATTTTCCCTCTCCCTCTATCCCTCCCTCTGTCTCTTTCCTTTTCCCCTCTTCCCGCCTGCTTCGACCATCTTCGGCAATCAAACAGGCGGGCACGGATATGCGCGCACTCCCACACGCACCCACACAGACAAACACACCTTGACACATCCAGAGAGCCCTCACAGGAGGCCGACGCACTTGTGCCATCACTTGCGAAAAAAAAACCCCAATAAAACACCCAATAACCCGCTCAAAGAGAGCCCTCTTTGTACCGGATCACGCCTCCCAGCGCATCAGCCTCTTCCAAGTGGCCCAGCGGGCGGCGGATCATGGTCCTGCAGGGGAGGCGGCCGAGGGGGGGCCTGGTCAAGAGGCGACCAGCGGAAGGGGAGGAAGCCCGGAGGAGGGCAGAGCCTCAAGTAACACCTTCAAGACCACATGGCATCCGGCCGGTCGGGAACGGAGTCTGGAGCTTGCCAGAACAGCGCAAAAGGGAGAAAAGCTCCATGGGATATATTTCGCAGGTAACAGGGTAAAAAGATCCCCCCCCCCCCCCCCCCCCCGGCCAGCAAGCCCCCACCCTGCACACCCACACACCACACACACAGCCCCTTTTACTGCCTCGGAGCAAGCCACAACAACAATAACAATAACAACACCACCATCACCACCAACAACAACAACAACAAATACGTTGTGAACTTCCGAAGGAGTGCGACAGAGGATGGGGCCCGGGGGGGGG